TAGACATCCCTACTTTCCTAGATGTAATCCTGTTGTCGTCCCATTGTTACTTCGGCAGCTTCCAGAATCCCAGCATTAATACAGAGGAGGGTTTAACTGGAACTTATGACTAGGCAAGTCAAAGAATAGTTCTAACCATAGTCGGGGAATTATTTTTCTGCCGTTGGCTAATTCCCGACAATATTTGCAAGCTGATAGAATTATCTCGAGAATTATTATAGAGAAAGTGTCAAATTATGGATACGCACCATAATTCACTGTCCACTAAGAAACAAGAAACACAATGCATCACTTATTCCACAAAAATTGTGAAAGCTTCCCCTAAATGCTAGGCCACGATTTAAAGCACCACTATCATCTCTTTCAAGCTCACGTAAAAGATTACTTCCACTATCTTATGTTTCTCGACCATAGGGTAGTTCAAGGTAGAATTGAAAATCTTTTTTTTTTGCCGTTTTTCCTTTAATTTCCTTCCTCAAAAATGATAACGCATGCCGCTGCAACAAGCAGCGCTTCTTGTTCACTATATGAGTTTATAATCACTAACTCAGGTGTGGACAAAACACAATTTATTCAACATAATCTAGCATATAACATAATATGACAATGTTATTGCTATATGTTATTAAGTAGTGTGGACCCTGCTAAGGAGTCCAATATTTGGTATATAACTTTCTGCTTGGTTTCTGAACTTTGATCATTTTGGTTTTTCTGGAATAGACCTAATTGATACTTTTTTTTTTGGTGGGGAAGTTGTCTGATTAAACTCCGAGTGGCGCTGCAGGCGGAGGCTTATTGTGCTAAATCTTCCTGTTTAATGCACCCATTCCAAAACCCTGATCCCTGCAGTAGGCGAAGTAGGTCTGTTGGATGTTTGCCGTATGAGTCTGGATCTAGTTCAGCTTCTCCAAATATATTTTGTCTTCTGCGAGTTAGTGCATTGCATTCTGATATAATGTGTTGAGCTGTTTCGGTCTCTGTTCCGCATAGTCTGCAGCTCGTGTCTCCGTTGTACATGGATTTAATTTTAACAGCTCTATTCTGTAATACCATAAGAGGATTGGAGAGCAGAAATTTGCCTTTTCTTCATAAACATTCTGGTTGTAGACGTTAGACGTCACAATCTCGACCGCCTCTAGGCAAGGCACCGGGTGCATTTTTGTAACATTATGTGCATCTACGGTATGAAGAATTCTTTGCCTAGAAAACTATACAGTGAGGGGCAAGCTACTAGGTATATAGGAAGTAACCTGACGAATTTGCAGGCGTCCGCATGTCAGAAAATGACAAATCAATTTAGCGCTAACCTGGTGACAACCAGGTAAAAAGTTTCTTGGGTTGTTGATCATTTTAAAAAATATGGTTGTGTTTCTCCCCGAAACCATAAACGAAATGACGTCCAGTAAAATAATGAGGATCAAGAAGCCGAATAAATTATGTCGTTGGTTGTTGGCATTAGTTAACGAAACTCCAACTATTTCTACTCGTGCGCTTGCGCACGAGATTTACTCAAGTACAAGGACGGTGAGGAAGCCACAGAAAAAGAAAGGATCGTTCGTACAAAGTACGAAACTCCCAAAAAATTGATCCTGATGCAAGGACAACATCAGGCGAATGGAGTTTTGTGAAACTGATTAATGATGAAATTAAAAAAAAATGAAATTGAAGATTTTCTTAGAAGAATTGTGTTCACAGATGAAACGACATTTCAACTCCATTGTCGACATAATCCTAGTCACACCCGTTATTGGTCTAAGGTCTACGGAGAATTTACACAGGTATTTTGAGCTTAAAGCCCAGCGTCCTCAAAAGGTAACTGTCTAGAGCGGTTTGTATGGAGAACATATTATTGAGCCGTACTCCATTGACGCTAACTTAACTGGTATATTTGGATTTTTCGCAACGCCAGATAATTCCAGAAATAAGAAGATTATCTGGTCCTAGAATTTATGAAATATGGTTTCAACAAGATGGATGTCCAGCCCAAAACACGGGTTTCATTCTGGACCATTTGAATAATACTTTTCCAAACCGTCTCATTACTGGGTCGAGAGCTACAATACTGTGGCGAGCCCGCTCTCACGATCTTGCACCCATCAACGATTATTTTTTCTGGGGTTATTGCAAATCAAAAATGTATGGTGGTCAAGAGGATCGCGCCGTGAACCTTGAGCAGCAGCCTTTCAAAATTCGAGAAATATATCTAACTGTCACCCATGTGATGCTGAATAATGTTCGTAGAGCCTTCTATGATTGTTTAGGTCATTGTTTATCTCAAGAAGGTGGACTGTTTGAACATTTGCTAGTTGCTACATAATATCATCTGTTTAGAACTTTTGTTTTTATTTTACCTAATTTTTCTTCTATTTTTTATGTTGAATACATTTTTAGTTTTTCCTTGATGGCTTTTTTAAAATACATGTTTTCTTTTCATAAAATATGAAAAATCATTGTTTCGGTTCGAAAAAAAATCTATCTACACGCTTAATTTTAATTATAAGTAAGTGAAGCTCGACGAATCGATACATCTAAAAGCACGTTCCAGATGCTACGTTTTGCATAACGTTTTGTTTGCACAGTTCAACACGTGATCAGTAATCAGTAACGTAGCGTCTGGAACGGGCTTAGGTCTGTAAAATCATAAAACGTACTGATATGAGCCTGGCTTGTGAACATACTCAACGAACGTCAAATTCATCGAAAAAACGACAGCGACAGGTGTTCAAACGGCTGCGGACGATCGTAAATTCGTCAAGTTGGATTCTATATACCTAGTAGCCTGCCCCTTACTGTATTGTTTTTTTATAAATCCATAAAAACACTAATTTTGATATAGGTAGGTACTTACTAGCTAACTTATACAACATATCCAGTGAGCTAAACGTCTACATTAGGACCAGGCAGCATGACCCATCTCATCATTCTGCTCCACCAATAGATACCCAACCAATTTTTTCCCCCTGCTGAAATGTTACTTTTTATTTCGTCTAGAACTTCATTGTCAAACAATCCATAATCAACATCAATGGAAAGTTTTATGTCTTTGCTGATGATAGCACTATATTGTGGACAGGTAAAAGGGGCGAGCTTGAGGATGTGATTGAGAGTGATCTAAAAAAGGTTAAGGAATGCTGTGATGCGAACCAGTTGTGTTTTAACATAAAAAAAACTAATATTGTCTCCTTTAGATTCTCCATAAATTCTATACCCCTGAGTGACCAGCTTATTGAGTCCCATCAGAGTCTAAAGTTTCTTGGACTGGTGCTTGATAAACAGTTGGATTTTAAAGAACATATTATCCAACTCAAACCTAAACTATCATCTGCCTGTTTTGCACTTAAAATAGTAAGGAGCTCAATCTGCATTCAGCGAGGATGGTGTATTATGCTCTGTTTGAGTCTCGGGCAAGGTACGGGGTGGCCTTTTGGGGCTACTGTTCCAAAACTAACTTTGACTCAGTGTTCCGAATTCCGAAGCGGGCTATTCGAATCTTGAGTGGAGCCATGGCAACATTGCAAACCATTATTCAAAAAGCAAAAGATTCTTACTTTGACTGCTATCTTTATACTAGAGTCTGTTTGCCTTATTCATAAAGAGCAAATAAATCCAAATGCTGCTACTTATGCCCCTGAACGATCCACTAGGCAAACCGCAAACCAACTTATACCCCTTCCTATACCTAGACTTACTTTGACCAAGGAATCAGTAATTTATGAGAGCGTCAAGTTATACAACCACCTCCCGCTCGAAGTCAGGTCAATAAGAGAAATTAAAAAATTTAGAAAAGCAGTAATGACCTGCTTTGAAAAATATCCCTTCTACAATTGTGATGAATACTATGCTGAAGCACTCTCTTAGACTGTATCTTTTGTTTTTAGTTTAATGATAATAATAATAATTGTGTGATATCTTGCTGTTGATTGTTGTATTTTTTTAAATTTTTTTACATTTTTTACATTTTGTTTGTATTTTTTTGTTAATTTTACTCGCAACTTTATGTATGTTAAATTTTACCTTCCATTTGTGTTTTTTTTTGTGTCATTATTTGTTGGCTAGTTTTACAAATTTTTATTGTTTTTTTCTTTTTTTTTAACTATTGGAATTAGATCATGTTTTAAGTAATCATTAGTATGAAACTTGTTTGTCCGGATTTTCCGGATAAAGTGTTTAAGTTACTTTGTCAATAATTTTTATTGGGAAATTTCGACAATAAAGCTTTTTTGAATTTGAATTTGAATCAAACAGCCCAAAGTTACTATTTGCTCTCAAAATAGTTTTCGCATGATAATGACTGGAATATTTTAGTTATTGTGAAAAATCACTATTTACTTTCAAAATATTAAGCAAATAAGGTAGCTGAACTGAAGACCATGTTCTGTGCATGAAAGAACAAGTTGAATGTTCAATGTCCAGCCAGATTTCAGCATTGACGTGACATAATATAGTGATTGGTTCACATTCTCGTAGCTTTATTCTGAGGAATTGATAGTTGAATCAGTTTTACTAGAAACATATGAGGGACCACAATAATCAAAGTACGGTTTAATAGTTCAATTAAGGAAAAGTTGTTTTGTTGGAATTGACAATTTATTTTTTAGAAAACATACAAAACGAATTTCTTGCCAAGTTTTTTGTTTCATGTTTAATATGGGTATTTAAATTCGACTTATTATTATGTAATCACAAGTCCCAGATTTTTCATATTATCTACATATTCCAGAATTTGTTATGAGTTTTCTTTATCTGTTTGTGTTCAACCAAGTAACCTTTTTAATAGGGATTGTCATTCAGCTTTTATTCTGTGACGCATGCGTCACGTCAAAAATGTTTAGGCAAACACTAATAAATCCATACGTTTTATTTTGACTTTGACATTATTTCATCAACACATGTGCCGGTTGTTTGTCTAACAATTTCCTTAGGTCTATCTATATACAAGGCCATCGTGACAAACCCTATTGAAATACTTTATATCTTATATGTATTTTTTTTTTTTTTAGAAAATCAAAGACCCTATTGAAGATTTCTTTTGGCCCAAAGAGACAATAAAAAGGCGCCGAAAGATGGAAAAAACAGAAAAAGAATATTCTGACGATGCTGGCACAGATAGCAGCGATGAAGATGATGAATTTGAACAGTACATAACTGAAGAAAATTTATTTGCAATAATTGATTACATCAGGAATAAGCATGTATATTGCCTGTATTGTGTAATAACTGGAATAGATATGGAAGATCTTAAAGAAAATTGTCCAGGTCCATATCGAATTGATCATGATAATGAGTTTGACTGAATTTTAATTTCTTTCATTAATTATAGTCCTAAACTTCCGTGGATATGTCGCAGGCAAATGGCTTTTGTCTAGGTAAATACTATTTGATTAAAAATATATTAGCCTCAACTGATTTCAGAAAATAAAAATATATTTTTAACAAAATATACTTATAACTCAATAAAATATATATAATTTTAATGTAATGTTAAACATAACACACAAACTGCAAACAATATAATTATAATTTAAAATATAATAATAAATAATCACTCGTTTTGAGTGCTGGAATGACATGGTGTGGTGTTCATTTTGAGACTTGAATCTTGATACAGACATTTCCATGGCTAATTAGTAACAAAATGCAACAATACCAAAGCAAATTTAGACAAAAAAACTATCTGGAAAGTCATAGTCTATTCAAACACTCGGAAAGATGGGAATTTTGTTATAATGAAAAGTAATTGACAAAATGGGTGTTAGACAATTCCAGTAAATACTGCAAACGCCATTTAGTAGGCGATAATTTAAATAAAAATTATTTTTTCAAGCCATTAGTCTACCCAGATGCCATTTGCGTAGATAAAAGACGTTTGCCTAAAATAACCATTTGCCTGTGGCAGAAATATTTGGTCAGATTCTATTATTTATTTTTTTATATGTCATAGTTTTCCGTCTATGTTTAAAGCTCAGAAAATGATTTGCGGTTGTTTATTTTAATACCCAAGCAACAATTCGCACAACACATACTAAATTTAACAGAAGTAAACGTCACCATTTGTGACAATTTTTTTTTTGTTTTCAAAAAATCCATATGCCTAATATAAAGTCGCGCATGTTTCCAGCACCTATCCTATATGTTTCCAGTAAACTGTTGTTCGTTGTGGCATCTTAGTGCTGATATACCAATTATTTAAGGGTACTCAAATATTCCTTAGGTATTCAACAACCCATATATCAGCTCGCGAACTAATGTTAAAGTGGGTCTTATTGTTGTTTATAACGTCTGCTGCCCACTTCAAGTCGCATTTGACAAAGTAAGGGTCGACAAATTGTTGCTTAGGTAGTCCATGTTTAAATGCAAATAATTTTTCAAGTGTAACCAAAGATTTTTTTATTTACTTGGCAGTAAAAAATAAACATCTCAAATCAATAAATAATTGTGAAAAGTGATATTGTTTACTTATACTTTGAGCTCAGCACAGGAAGACGGCCTAATGACATAAATAATTATTTTGTTGGCATTTTTTCTATTCCTTCTATTATAAACTCTAAAACGATTTTGGAGGCTATAGATTCTCTCTCAAATGAGTCTATTTATCTTGTATATATGTTTATGGCTCCTTTTATTGCCTATACTTTTTACGTTACTATTATGGGATTGATATTTTGTTTGAAAGCAGTAGGCAATAATTGAGTGCTGGGAAAATAATAGGTAGGGTAGGTAATACCTACTTTGATTTGCTATTTTTATATAGAACTAGGTTCATATAACTATTCTACAGACTTGATTGCCTATACTTTTTATGTGTTATTATTATCGGAGTGATATTTGTTTTGAAGCTGTAGGCAATAATCGAATGCTGAGAAAATAATATTTTTTCTGTGATGGGAAAAAAGTATATGTATGGTCAAAAAAAATAATAGTGTACCTATAGATGGAAAAAAGTGAGATTTTCCCGTCACAGAGAAAAATAGTGTATTATAGATGGGAAAAAAGTAAGATTTTAGCGCTTGCTGTGTTGTCTCCTTCCGCTTTGCGCCGCGGGAGACAAACCACACCTCACGCTAAAATCTAGTACTTTTTTCTTTTGTATAATAAATAACTATTACTTTATTTTATCTTTATGTTTTTGTTATTTTCATTGACTTATCTTATATATGTAAAGCTTATTTTTATTTAGATGAAAAATAAATAATTGTTTAACAGGAGTTTCAAAAACATCAAATAATTTACCTAATTCGTTTCAAAACTCTACAATAAACTAGGGCCAACGTAGTTTTGTTAGTTGGCTAAAGTCGTATCTTAATATAAATTCTAAAATACTTTGAAAACAATATGAGAACAAGTAATTTTCAAACTGATTTTTGAAGATTAAAGTGCGTTAGGCGTTTTCCAGGAAAAGTTCTCATAGGTAGATTATATAGGGTGGTCCAAAAAAAAAAAAAAACGGAATTTTGTGTATGAGCTGTAACTTTTTTTTTTGTTGACCAATTTCCTTTTGTTTTGGCTTATTTGAAACAGAATTGAACAGGCTCACGAATCAAAGTAAAACTTTTAAAATTTGAAAAAAATTCAAAATGGCGGAGTTCTTCAAAAATTACCTAGTTTTGGATATGAAAAGTTGATATTCAATATTACAAAAATTTCCATATTTCACTCAGTTTTCCACCGATTTTCCCTGTCGAGGTCTTAAAATGTTCGCAAAATGATGAACTTTAAGAATTTATTAGAAAAAGTTATACAGGGGGTCACGAAATACTTCCAACGTTTCCCAAAACTAGGTGATTGATGAAGAAGTCCGCCCTTTCGAATTTTTCTCAAATGTCAAAAGTCTCAGTTTTATTCGGTAGCCTGTTCACTTCTCTTTCAAGCAAGCTTAAACAGAAAGAAATTGGTTGACAACAAAAAAAGTTACAGCTCAAAAACAAAATTCCGGTTTTTTTTTTGGACCACCCTATAATAGATAGAGATAGGTACAAAACCAACGGAATCCTTAGGAGATAATCCAAACCTAATTAACTGTGTCATAGTAAAGGCAAGGGGGGGGGTGGGCACTTGTCGTTAACTCTGGGAATTGCTTCACATATTTTCTCAATATTTTATTTTTTCTTGATCAGCATTTGCTTTTAAAAATGGTACAATAATTAATATCAATGTTTAGTAGACCAAATATTTTTTGCTAAATTTACACTGGACATCAAAATACAACCAAGCGGGACCTTTACCATTTGAAAAAGGCATGTATGGAAAATAAAAATTGATTGATTGATTGAAAATCCGAAAATTAGCTTTGATTTTAAGTAACTTTTTCACATTCATAGAATAAAACTTGTTTGGTACAGTAAAGTAAAAAAGGAACCCCCTGAGGCTCACATTTCGCGGATACCTACTTCATTGGTGCAAATCGCATTTTGATATCTTCCACTGAAGGCACTTCTGGGAGCACATTAAAGTCAAAACATTTTGAGGGGAGAAAATAATTTGCTGACCTTTCTGCTGCCATAAAAATAGTTTCCATTAAGCCCCGAGGGCCGTTTACTCTTAACAACGGACCCCGCACTTGAACCATTGAAAATAGGTTTCGGTGAAAATGTCTGAATTTTTTATGTGTTGTAGTTCTGAATCTGTAGATAGAATTTTAGCAAAAAAACTTGGGGGAGGGGTCCTCGAGCCGTTTCGGTGCTACGGCCTACGGCCACAGCTTATCTACGGCCATCCATAGGCGTGGGAATAAGAGTCCGATTGCTAGCGTCGCCTTGAAAAGTTTATTTTAAAACACAAATAACAAATCATTCTAAGACATAATTGTTTAGAATATACTTACATATAGCTGTTAGACTGAAACTGTGGCAAATGTTTAGTCCTATTAAAAAAAGTTGTACATTCCTATTTCCTATGCCCCAAAGTGTCCTCTACAAGATGATACATCTGGTTATACCTCGGAATCACGCACCCTCAGAAAACAGCGAGTTAGAGCAGTGATTTTATTCCACTATATATCTTATGGGATATTTTCAAAAATACATAAGCTCATCTTTTATTAGGCATTTACAGTCGATTGGTTCGTAGGTACATAGGTACTGTATTTGAATGTTGTATGTGTTGGAGGTGTCAATTGCACCACGACCTGGTAGATCTATTGTACCCCTCCTTCTGCTGCCAGGTCAGGGCTTCCTGCTGAAAGCAGCCCCTCCAGTCCTAGGTCCTTAAGGAATCTTAGGACATCCAGCGGTTCCAGAGTTGAAATATCTTCCAACTGTATGGTGGGCTTCCCAGATTCTTCATCCTTGAACGACTAATGGCATTACAATTCAGTAGAAGGTGGTGAGGTGTTTCCTCTCCATGTTTGCAGAATCTGCAGGTGCCGTTTTCTTCCAGACCTAATTTGTGTAGGTGTTTTTTGAATCTGCAGTGTTTCGAGAGGAACCCAGTTAGCGTTTTGAGACTTTCTAAGGTTGACTAGCAGTTCTGATCTTTTTTGGTTAAAGTTGCCCAGTAGATCTTTGGCCTGCCGTAGTCCTGGCTGTTCTAGCCAGTGTTTGTTTCTTAGCCGGTTTTCTTCCTTTTTGAGGATTCTTTGGAAGTGCCTATTGCCGAGACTGCAGAATGGTTCTGGCCCAGTGAAGGGGGTAGAAGCTCCCGTTCTTGCGAGTGCATCTGCGCATTCGTTGTCCTCAACTCCCCCAGGCACCCAGAGAAGACTACTTTATAAATCAATTTAAATCCTTTCGTTTAATACACATTGTTGACTGGATATTACTGCACATGCAAAGTTGGTGCAAGGACAGTTGGTATGTGTGCACATATAACCAGCTTTAATTGATTTCTGGAATATTCTAGGCATTTGGCGAGCATTTGATTTACATCCAACTCTCTCTTGGAAAAGGTTCGAGATGTTTCAAATCGATTTCAGAATCCAGACAATATTTAGTGTATTCCTTAATTTGAATGTATCGCAGGCTCTTGCAAACTAATGTTTGTCTAAATAGCTACCTATTATAGTTTCTCTTCTTTTGAAGATGTTAAGATTGCTAACAAAACACTTGTCGAGAAAAGTAATGTATTTTTGATTAGTGGTGAAACTGTGTTTGATAATTGATATCATATAAAACCGAAGGTTCCAACCCAGTTTTGAGTGTTGGGCATTATCAAAATTATAGATCTTTATGCCTAGATATTTTATGTGGCGTTTTTTATTATATTTCTTATTACAGATTAACCAATCAAACATAATTAGGTAAGTTTATTACGTAATTTGGTTCTTTTTACCTTTGCACTTAGTTAGATTTTTTTCTCTTTTTTGATTTATATTACAATAATCGTTTAAAATTGAAAATCTATTTCGCATAATATTTTTTAACCATTAAGTATCATGTTTTTTCCGAACAATGTTCTATGAAATGTTGGTTTTATTCATGTCGAGACGAGCTACTTGAGTATACAATGCACACGGGAATCAGAAAAGTGAGTAGGAAGTTTTGTTATTGCAAACTGTTGTTTGTTTCTTAACTTAAAATAAATTAGTACATACTAACTTTTGAGCGGCCATGTATTTAAAAAAAATTGAATTGATTTATACATATAATATAGAATTTGAATAAACTTTGTACAAACAACCCGCTACAAATATCTAATAAAAGATGAGCATGATGCATCTCCCATAAGATTAAGATATATTCAAATATAGGTATTTACCAATAAACAGTTTCACCCTGTACATTTGTAACAGTTTCAGTCTAAACGGCTACATGTATATACAGGGTGGCCCGTTTATTTTGTCCTATCTCGGTATATGAAAATCTAGATATTTTATGACAAACAGTTAAATACAAAAGTTGTAGGGTTTAAATAAATAATTTGTTTTTTTATATTTGCGCATATACAGGGGAATCAAAAAAGTGTGACATCAGATTTAATTCTTTTTTAATAGAACACCCTGAATGTTTTTATATTTTTTGATAGCGCTTTGAAAGACAAATATAAATATACAGGATGTCCGGTAAGTATATGGCATACTCTCGGGAGCGTATAGGAGGGGTCAAAATAACCCTACTTTGTTCTAAAAAAAAAATCCTAAAGTGCCCCTTAACGGAGATACAGAGCCCCAAAAGAGTACATGGCGATCCACCTTTTTGACTCTAACTTCTGAACCAATTTGTATAATTTAATGAAGTTTTGATATTTTATATTGGCCATAAAGACTCATAAAATCATCCTACAGTGGATGTTTCACATACTCTGGGAAGTCAGGAACGGACTTGCCACCATATTCATTTTGCCAAATTTTTGACAGGAGTCATTTTACACAGCTGAAAAGTGATTTTCTAATTACTTTGGTCATTTTTCTTCAAAAAAGGTATTCTACATTTGTTTCGATTAAATTAGCCGTTTCCGAAAAATTAGGTTTTTGTATAACACCTTCGATCATTTATCTTCGAAATTTATTTAATAATCAAGTCGATCCTAGATTAAGAAAAAATAGGTAGAAGTTGACTTATAAAAAGTACCTGAAACCGACCCTTTTTACCATATAAAGTAACTTTTTATAAGTCAACTTCTACCTGTTTTTCTTAATCTAGGATAAACTTAATTATTAAATAAATTTCTAAGGTATAGGATTGAAGGTGGGTATACAAAAACCTAATTTTTTCGGAAACGGCTGATTTAAATTATACAAGTCGGTTCAAAAGTTAGAGCCAAAAATGTGGATCGCCAAGTACTCTTTTGGGGCTCTGTATCTCCGTTAAGGGGCACTTTAGGAATTTTTTTTTAGAACAAAGTAAGGTTATTTTGACCCTTCCTATACGCTCCCGAGAGTATGCCATATACTTACCGGACACCCTGTAATTCTATAATGCGTTTTTTTTTGTGCTCAAAAAAAACTTCAAGGCGACGTTTGCAGTCAGACTCCTAAATCGCACGATTCGCACGCCTATGGATGGCCGTAGCTCCGATACGGCTCGAGGACCCGCCCCAGTTTTTTTGCCAAAATTCGATCTACAGACTTAGAACTACAACATATAAAAAATTCAGACATTTTGACCGAAACCTATTTTGAATGCTCCATAAGTGCGGGGTGTGCTACCACCGCTATTTATGCACCAAAATTAATCTAACTTTATTTTTGATTATAGTTTTTGAAAGGCTTTCTCCTGTCATAAAAATATTTTCCATTGAGCCCCCTAGGGGCCGTTTACTCGTAACAAATTTAGGAGAAAAGGTGCTACCAGAGCAAAAATTAATTATA